ATTTGCACAATGGATATTCAATGAACATACATCCTCTCAATGGACAGAATCACCTCAGCAGGAAGGACACTTCCAATAACAGGTCTTCCATAAACAAGGGGCATGACATAATGTCTAATACACCCGGGGCAGTCTCTCCAAAGGTTCCAAATAACCAGGGGAAGATCTCCATCTGAATCACTTGGGGAATTACACACGCATTCCAGCAATGAATCATGTGCCATCAAGAAAACATTCTTGACAGTACCACAACACTACTATGGATAGTGACAATTCTCCGTACCCGGTGAACATGGACATAATCAGAAGATAATACGCATGACTAAAGACCCGCTAGGTTGACTGGCCTAGGCAAAAATTAGGGATAAAGACAAAAAAATATGTACACCCGGCAAGTCGAAAACCTGAAAAGGCGACTTGGGCAAGAAAGGGTATCCCGGTGGATTGAAAATCTGAAAATAATGTCCAAGCAAAAGTTAGGGATTAAAGCGCACGACTATGTCCCGTCATCTCGTCACTTACCTATTGTTAGAAGACTTATCATTCTGATCGGCAGTTACCCGGCACCCCATGAGTTAGGATAACACTCAAGCCATCCACAAAGCCTCCGGAGGTACTTTCTCCAGCAGGTACAGGGGCAGGGACAGCTTTGAAACGAAGTCACCATTACAGACGACCCCATGACATCTACACTCCCCACAGAGTAGAGGCAACCAAAGCTTTGACATCAGGTTCCCCAAACAGGAGTTACTTTCCCCATCAAAGTTCCTTCAGAGAGCCGACGTCTATATTCCCCAGCCGAATTTTATAATCGCAAGTGGTTCATAAAGTTGTCTCCCAAGCAGAGTCTATTTCTCTGAATACAAAATCTCAATCCCTGACATAGTTCATCCCTTCAACTATGGAAGTTCATCCTCCAACAGAATTATTCCCCCGCAGAGTTATTCTCAAACAGAGTCTCTGCCTGGCAGAATATCCGTAAACAGGGAGCAAATCTCCAGCGTAGTCATCTTCGTTCGCCATCCCCAACGGAAGTAGAAGGACCACTTTTTGTATGACGGTCAGGAAGTCAATTTCCAGTAGTCTCAAGCAGCGGTCATGGATTTATTTTCCCAGACTCGGATATGTCATAAATAGAATTTCATGTTCATACATCATGATGTGTGCACACATATTGCATACAGCATAATCTCATTTATTTTGAGAACATCATCACACAACGCATTTCATGTATCACATATAATTAATGATGTACGTTTTCAGGAAAGATGGTTATCATCAACAATTTCCAGCAGGTCTAAGATTAGATCCTGAAACTAAATAGATTAATCATCTGTGCGACCAAATGCAGTTGTACACGGGTTCATCGTGAAGCAATCTTACACAGGTTTCTCCTAAATGCAGCTTCACACGGGTTTATCCTAAAAAATCTTACACAGGCCCTTTCTCATACATTTCCAAATAAAGTTTCACACGAACTCATCACGACGTAACCCTACGACCCAAGTTCCTTCTCATAAGACCTACTATTCAGGCTTTCATTTCAAAGAAACCCTACTATCCAGGTTCCTTCTCCCTTATCTCCAGACAACAGTTTACAACACTGTAAGACCGGGACCCGACCAGATACGGTCGATTTCATATTTCCCCAGTAAGTCGTTGTGCAGCCTGGACCCTAACCAATTAGGCAGTGTGCTTCCACCTCCTCAGTTAATAGTTAATTCCCCAGTAGAGTAATGGACAACCGAAGCTCCTATACTCTATCTCCTAGGACGTAAACCGACATTCCCCGGTAAAGCCCCTCTCAACGGCAGGTACAAGAATTCTCGCAAAGGAATCTCTTATATAGCCGATACCTTCTCTGGATGGTATCTTTAAGCCCATCTCCAACGATCCCTCATCATCTTCTTCCAAATGGCATCTGTAGACCCATTCCTGATATCACCAAATAGCATTACTTCATGCGAGTGCAACTTTATGGGCACTTTAGTGTTCAATCATCTTCTACCTTCAGATCACGAAAGGAAGACCAGCCAATCTACATCCTAAGGTTTAAGAAGATTGAATAGGGGCAGCTGTTGTACCCCAAAATTTCCCCTCCCATTTTACTCAACATATGTTCATTGAGATCCTTAACTTGCTCAAGGATGCCCAAGAGTTGACCAGACAAACTCTCTCCTAAAGCAATGAACCTCCAACTAGGGTTTCCATTTTCATCAAGATGGGTGAGCTCAAAAGGCCTCATATGCTATCCATAGTTATAATATGTTCTCAAGACCATCCATGTCAAGTTTCAGGTCTTGCACAAGAAGTTTGCTCAGTCAACTGCTCAGATGCTTGAAAATCAACTGTATTAGGTCAAAAGTCAAATGTGGCCCAAATACAGTCAAACTTCAAGATTTTTAGTCAACATCAACATTTTGAAGTGATATCCATCATTTTATCAAGGTTTGATCATGATTCCCCAAGGAATGCTCCTAATGCATCAAAACTCAAAAGTTGCTAAATTAGGGTTTCTTTGGAAAAGTCAACCAAACTTTGACCAGGCATAACTTTCTCATACTTTATTAGAAATTTTCCATAAAAGGCTCATTTTGAAGAGAATCCAATTTCCTATAACTCATCTTCATCCCTCAAGCTCAAAAAATTCACTCATGAAAAGATATGAATTCAGAAATTATAGGTCATTCCAAAAAGTCAACAAAAACACCTTTTGGGTCAAAGCTTCTTACATAAACATGGAGGATCCAATTGAGATGAAACCAAAAGGGTTGTTTAGGGGACATCCTAATCTTTCTAAAAAGTCCAAGAACACCCTCTTAGGGTCAAAATTTAATGAGATATTCATTGTCAAAGTTGGTCATTTTTGGAAAATTGTCAAAAGTCAACAATACCCAAAATTGCATTTTTTTTGTCAAATTGGCCTAACTTTTTATGCTTGCATCTTACTTCTAACATGGTCCACGAGCCAGACACTCTCCCACATATTATTGGCTTTATTTATTTAATTTATTTTGATTTTAATCTTTTAAAAATCAAATTAAATCAAATAAATGATATAAAATAGTGAAGATTTGTTTTTGATATGATTTTGAATGGAATTACAATCCAAATATGCTGTCAAACAAAATCAAATCGTGCAAAGGGTGATTGGGATGAGAATGGATTGATTTGGTTTAATTTAGAAATAAATAATGCAAGGATGAAATCAAATCAAATCTTGATAATTGGCAAAGATATAAATGCTTTTTGTTAACCTAATTCAGTCTACTACATATTGAAACAACCGGCTGAAAATCATCAAAACAATGAAGTCGCCATCGAACGTCTTTTATCCCACATGAAGGGAAAGGTAAACATCGAGAAAACCCGAGAAGGATGAAATCAAGGTCGAACGACCAAGAGATAAGGGTAAGGGAGTCTGTTACGCGAGGGGAAGGTATTAGCACCCCACACGCCCGTAGTACTCTACGGTATCCACTCTTGTTGTCTATCTTATGGGTGTGTTCAATCTATGCTTATTGTTTATTATTGCTAAAGGAATGCATGCAAAAGAAAAGGAAAAAAATGTATGGAAGAAAATAAAATTGTGCTCGTTCGGGCCCTACCCCGATGCCTACGTATCCCTTTTAAGGAATCAGAGCAGCCGTAGTTCGGCTTATATGTTTTTGCTGGTTTATGTTTTTATGAACAATATTGATTTCGCCTTCTGCCGCAACTCGACCTTTGGAGATTTACGCGTCAGCATAGAAGTGAATTAATATGCTCTTTCGAAAAAGGTTTGGAGAAAATGTTCCTGGGCGCACAAAAGTTTCCAATTTGTTTGTTTTTGACGAACAACATTAATTTCGCCTTCTGCCACTACTCGACCTTTGGAGATTTACGCGTCAGCACAGAAGTGAATTAATTTGTTCTTTCTGAAAAGGTTTTGAAAGAAAGACCTGAAGGCAAAAAGAATTTTATGTTTGTCGGTGTTTTTGCTTGTAGATAATAACTAGTCGACCTCAAGAGAGAGATATTAGCCATCTTTTATACTTAGTCATGAAATAAGTCTTTGAGACTTGAACCACACCAAAGCTTAGAATAAGAGAACAATAAGGTCGAGAAGAGACCCGCTTATCGTCTCACATACTTAACGAAGATATGATTCTCGTCAGTAAATTTTTAGTATTTCAAAGTTTGTAAAAAAGAAGTTTTTGTTTTAAATGCGTATGCAGACGGGAAAGAAAAGTCCATGGGATACTAGCCTATTTCTAAACCTAAAGTTATCAGGCGTTGTTAGACCTAAAATTATATATTTCAAAGGAATTCTACCTGATGTTAGCATGCATATGGATGGCGGTAAAGTGTGGAAATGAAGAACAAAAATAGAGTTGTGACGATACCGAACGGAGAAGGTCTGTTGCCTCTTCGAAGCCACGTAAGCGATAAGAGAACTCTACAGAAGTTGCTCCGCATGAGTGATAAAAAATTAATCTCCAAGCATTTCCCATTACAAAAGTTGCATTATTACTATCACGCAATCTTGACGAAAATGACAATGAAAATGATTGTTAAACGTGAAATAATAGAAGGTTCTAATAAAATTCTAAAGAAAAATCCTAAAGAATTCTTAAAAAAATGCTACTATTTTGCATCATTTTATCGTGTGGAACGTTAATCAAAATCATGAACAAATCATACAAAAAATAAAAATTGAAATAGATGAATTAACAAGAAAATAGAACATGAATGTAACAGGAGGTGCAAAGCCTGAATTAGGGTGCATGCTGCAAGCAACTGAAATAGCCCTTAAGCCCAAACTAAGTTCAGTCCAATGAGCTTTTTGTCCATGAACTTCAACTTTCTCCAAAAAAATGTTGTAATGGGCTTAAGAAATATTATGGCCCAATATCCATAATAATCTCTTGTTTTCTTTTATTCCACTTATTATTATTTTTTTATATTTTTATATCATCTTTCTAGAAACAATAAAAATATAACAAAAAGAAGAAGAAAAATTAAAGAAAGGGATCGTGATTAGGGAGGGTTACAATAACTTTTTCCTTTCTTCGACGGCGCCGTTTTTGGCGAAACTCAGATCTCTTCCTCTCTTCTTCTTCTCTGACGTAAATTCCGACGAGCATCTCTGTGGCCACCATCGCCCCTTTAACCTTCCCCAAATCTCTGATTGAAGGCGTGGAATTCTGGCGCGATGCTTGCCTACCTCCGGTGTCACCACAAGGTATCCTCCTCTTTTTTGATTCAATTTCTGCTTCTGCTTCTGCTTCTTTTACATTTGCGTTGTTGTTTTGATTTTGTTGTTTCTGTTTGTGATGTCGTGGCTGCATATTGATGCGTGAGATTGATGAACAAAATTGATGATGTAGATACGTTGTTGCAGAGATAAAGTTGAAGTGTTAGGTTGAAAGATTGAATTGATGATGATGATTGAAGATGAAACATGAATGAGGCAGAGAGTAGAGAAAAACTTCAGTTGCAGAAGATGAGAAAAGGTGAAGATATTTGGTGAGTCTCTTGTGAAAATGAATCGTGAATCTCTATTTTTGTGATTCTTCTTGAATGTTGAAGAATGATGATGAATGAAGGTGCATAGAAGGCTCATAGATATGAGAGAGTTTTATGTGTTGGTGATTCTCTAGATTGAAGAATGAGATGATTTGAGAAGTAATAAATTCTTTTTCTATGTTGAATCCTCTCTCCCTATTCTGTCTATCTATTATATATGCCTATAAAAGTTAGTTTGAAATCAGTTATTAGTTTTCTTTTTTTGTTAGAAGTTAGTTGGCTGGAATTTTGGTTAGGAACTGTTTAGAGTTTGTTAGGAGTTAGTAACTGTTAGAAGTTATGCAGTGTTGTTTAGTTGGGTTAAAAGAAGTTAGTTATAGAATTGGTTAGGAGCTTAGAAACTGTTAGAGTTAGTTAGAAAATTCAGTTAGAAAATTTTGGTTAGAAGTTTGTTATGGTTACAAGTTAATTATGAACTGTTAACTGTGTATTGATTTTTGCTTTTTAATCTTTCTATGCAGGGCTGAACTGGTTGCTTTGGTAGGAAGTGCGAAAAAGGTTGTAAGAATGGGAAGCATTAGAGAAGCATAAGAAACTACAAAAACAATCTGCATGTAGCTCTCTACACGGAATGATGAACGAGCCATCAACTTAGATGCAAGTGATCTTCCCAACATCAAAATTCTGTACTGAGGAGAATGTTTGGTGATGCAGCTCGCAATGTAAGTTAAGCAGTAAGTTACAGAAGCCCTCTTCCGACCCTGTTTATCAGCCAAAGATCCCACAATTATTCCAAACAACATTGAAGACCCAAAGCCAGCAATAACGAGTTGTCCAATATCCCCCTTTCCATATCCATGAGTACTATGAGAGAATAAATGAGAGGATAATTATTTTTGAAGGAATTGAAAGTGGAGGAAGTATTGATTCGATCCTTATTGTTTTTGCTAAGCTCGAGAACTGTAACAACAGCGGCTAATCCACCGAACACGGCGTAGAAGAACAAATCCAATTTCGCGATGCAGAGAAATTCCAGTACCAATAAAATTTTGGATCACAGTCTCTTTTTTTGCAGAGTGTGTGTGAAGGATTAGTTGTGTGAAAGATAGATTTAGCGTAGCTTTGTGTAATTTTTTTTTTATTTTGATCAATGATGTAATGTAAGACGGTGTAGTGAGTTATAATCTGGTATTGAATTTTTGTAATAGATCTTGCAATGTGACTTGAAGGAAGTGAAATTATAATAGACTAGTGCTTTGGAAATGTAATGTTCTCTTTCTCAAACATAGATTTGAATTTTTCCTTCATTTGCTTTAATTTGAATGAATCTTCAAGCATCTAATATTTTCTCCAATTTTCAATCTTGAACCTTGCTTTCATAATTCTTGACTTTGTCCATAATGCACCTGTTCAATCGCCTATAGCATTTCTGTTCAGACTATTTCCAATTAAATTCAGCTCACACCAATTGTCACAATTAGTACTAAAGAAATCAGTAGAGTCTTTCTCATCAACCAGCTTATGCCACACCTTTCTAGCAATGCCAAAATCTCTAAGGACATGAAGGGTAGACTCCTTCTCCTCCTGATGACAATCTTTACAATAGGGATCCTCAAGCCCCCTCACATTCATGTACTATTTAGTCTTAATCCCACCAAAAGGAATTGTAGCATCAAATACATCATAACAATTCACCCAAACTGTCCCAACTTTCAATGCTCTTGTCAAAGTATTAGCAGTGTCTATGTTTTGTGTGAAGATCCCTGCTGCAAGACCATACTTCGAATTGTTTGCTCTTTGAATTACATCTTCATTGTTCTTAAATTTTAATATGGTTTGTACTGGACCAAATATCTCTTCTTTTGTGATCGGCATGTCATCCTGAACGTCTGAGAAAACAGTAGGCTGAATATAGTAGCCCTTGCTGCCATGCCTTTCTCCGCCAGTTTCAAGAGTAGCCCCAGTGTCGACACCAGATCTGATATATCTCAATATTTTCTCAAATAGCTTTGAATCAATCTGAGGGCCTTGTTCTATTCCTGACTTGAATGGATCTCCAACAGAACGGTTCAAAGCGCGGATCTTAGCTTTCTCGACAAACTCGTCATACACACGTTCATGTACAAATGTACGAGACCCAGCACAGCAACATTGTCCTTGATTGAAGAATAGGGCAAAGTGTGCTAGCTCAACAGCCTGATCTACGTCAGCATCTTCGCATACAATAAACGGAGATTTCTCGCCAAGCTCCAAAGTTACTTGTTTAAGATTGCTTTGAGCTGCAAGTAGAAGAATAACTTTGCCGGTTGCAGTTGAACCAGTGAATGCAACCTTGTCAACATCCATGTGACTAGCAAGAACAGCACCTGCCGTTGGACCGAAGCCGTACACTATATTCAACACGCCAGGAGGAAGTCCAGCCTCAAGAAATAGTCTTGTTGTATACAACACAGACAGTGGTGTCTGCTCGGCTGTTTTCATAACGACAGTGTTGCCACATGCCAACGCCGGACCGACCTTCCAAGCAAACATGAGAAGAGGGAAGTTCCATGGAATGATCTGACCAGCAACACCAATCGGTTCATGCAATGTCTGCACATGATAGGCTCCGTCAGCTGGAACTGTGAGACCATGAATCTTATCTGCCCAACCAGCATAGTACCGAATTAGGCGAACCAACATTGGAATTTCAACTTGACGAGATTGTTCATACGGATTCCCATTATCCCAAGTCTCAAGTGTCACAATCTCATCGTTATGTTTCTCAATCAGATCAGCAGCACGCAACATTATCTTTTGCCTTTCATAGGTTGTCATCTTAGGCCACGGGCCTATATCGAATGCTTTGCGTGCAGCTGCAACAGCCCTATCAATATCTTCAGAGTGACCCTCCGCAACATGGGCAATCACTTCCCCGGTCCTCGGATCCAATGTTGGAAATGTTTTCCCAGAAGCAGCATCAACAAACTTTCCATCAATTAAGAGCCCAGTATGCTCTACTTGCACCAACGGTTTAATCGGCTGTTCATCAACAACAGCAGCTGTGCTATATTTAGCAAGTAATCCACCCCGATAACCGCCATTCCCACCTCGAGAGAACAAGGTAGAAGAAGATGCAGAAGAAATTGAGCGAGAAATGAGCCTAGAGATTTTGATGGAAGAAGCCATTGGATGTTTACTCTTAGCTTTTCACGAGCATATCCCAAATTAATAGATTCTTTAAACAACAAAATAGACTTTACAATGCAACTTGGGGAGTGTACCTCCTAGAGCACCCACTTGTATTAGGTGTGCAGTGACGACTTGAGACATGGATAGAATAATGTTCAAAATGTCTTCGAAATGAAACAAAGCATGATCTTCTAATAGACATAAGGAAATGAACCCAAATCTTCAGACTTAACAAATAAAACCTTGCAACTTGATTTTGAGATGAAGAGAATAACCTCGTAGCTTGATAAAGAAGAAATCCACAACAACCATCAATCAAAACCCTAAATTCATAATTCAATGTACCAGAAGAATCAGTCTAGTTTGATAAACACCTCGAACCAGAAGAAAGCCCGAGCTTCACAACCAATGATTCTCTGAACCATGATTCGACAAAACCTGAATTAAAGAGTGGATGAATGCCATGTGAAAGTCATTAAGCCTGATCAAATGATAGGCACACTTATATGAGGAAACGTCTTGATTCGAAGACCATGTATGCTAAGTCAAGCCCTTGAGTTCTTGAAAAGAAAAACCTGTAACATATTGTTTATCAGAAGATAGTAGCCTTGTTGCTTGAGGGAGAAGAAGTCCAAAAACAAGAATGAATCAAAACCCTAATTCCACAACTTGCTGCCTGAATAAGAAATCATCTTTTATTGGGTACGTGCGCCTTAACCACTGTGAAACCCTAGTATCGCACAGCCACTGAACTTTGAACCTTAGAGCTATATTGAATGAAATGTATGCCATGTTAGTGACCTAAGGAAATAGATGCAGATGAACGCAAAAGTATAAGCCAAAATAAAAGAAATTAGGAGGGCAAATTTTGGGGTGTAACACATATATAGAACAATTCCCAAGCACAAGAAAAGGGGTTGGACGTGTAAACTGTAAGAGCAAGAACTCAATTTTTGGACAAAAAAGTGAGCATCATATTTCATTCTACAGGGCGATTCAAAGCGTTTCAAGGCCAGCAATCCATTCTTGGCAATCTACTGAAGCTAACTGCACCCTTTGCACGCACCAAAACACTCAGAATCGTAAAATCTGCAACTTTGTTATCCAACTCTTTTTTATTTTTGATTACATGCATACATGCATTTTCAATTAGATTTAATCATGTATTCTTGTTTATCATAAGGTTTCGATACTTTCTGAATCATTTGATTGAGTTTTAAGTGCAGGAATCATGGTTTGCCCTTCTTAGGGTTTCCAAGCTCGTTTTAGGGTTTCCTTCTACATGCAAAATTAGGGTTGGGTGTGGATACCATGGTGTTCAGGGCTTCAAGCCCAATTGATTCATGGTCTCCATTATAATTTATATTGCTTGTGCTGGATTTTTGAATGATACAGGGTTGTACTTAAAGACTTTATCCGTAGGTAAAAGTCTAAGCCTAAAATGATCGTGCTGAGGAAGAATAAAGCTAGGTGGCAAACTCCCATTGGGAGATTTGAATTACGCGCGCGTTTTTTATGAGGTTAATGTTACTTTGTATATAATGTGATTTTGTTATTATATTAACAAATGAACAGCCAGCGCAAATGGTTAAGGACGGAGGCTTTGAAGCAAACGTCCTGGGTTCGATCCCAGGCGTGTTGCTTTTGTATTTTTCTTGAATATTCCTTGCAGATCCGGCATATCACTCTGTTGAGGGTCCAACTAGCGCTCCCCATCATCCATCTGTTGGATCATCTCCAGCCAGATCAAACGCCCAGCATACGCAAGCTCATGATAGACCATCAGAAGAAAGATGCACTGGATCAGGCGCAGGATCCTTGGGCCATCATCCCAGGCCTATCACAAAATTGGCAACATACCCCCCAATCTGCTTAGCTACATCAGGCCCATTCTTTTAATTCCTTTTTTAATTTCTTTATTTATTTTATTTTAATTTCTTGTTTAAATTATTTTTTACAAGAAATTTTTTTTAATTGAATCATAAAATCAAAAATCACTACAAAATATTAGGTTTAGTTTTTTCATAAAATAATTATTTACCTTAATTAATTAGGTTAATTAGGTTAACTTAAATTCTTTTTCCATAATTAAAATTAAATAGAAATTAGGTTAATTTGAAAGATTAATTACTTTTCTCAGAAAAATCCAAAAATATATTTTCTTTATTCATCAATTAATTGTTCCTAAACTTGACATTAATTCCCCGTATTTAATTTTGTCGCGTGCATTCTTTTTCCCTTGTTTTATAAATTATTGTATCAGCTCCGAGTTTGTAATAGTTAATTAGGTTTACTATTTCGCATTTATTATTTTCCCCGGTTTTTGATTATGTAATCCCCTTTCCCAAAGCCTTGTAATAGCTAGGGTTTTAATTTCTCGCACTTTACTTTCCACAATTATAAACTGCCTAGATGTATGGATAATAGGATTGAATGGCAAGATAAATCAATTTAAAACAGTAGAAAACCCTAAATGCGCAAGATAAATGAAACTGAACTCAAACACTTGCACATGCTCAATCCTAGGGTTTTGCCTCACTTGGTTGCCTCGGAAATAATGGTCGTGTCCCTCGAACGCAGGGATATCTTAGCAATGACCCGCAGTTCAAAGTCGTCATAAAGAGCATAGTCC